TCACTCGCACCTGGAGCTGTCGCAAGTGCAAGGCTTGCCGCAATGGGAGCCAATGTACCAGCCGGTTCGCTGCTAGACGTCGCAGGGACGCCCATCTTTGCATCCTCTGCCCTGTCCAGAAGCGCACTGGGACCATCAAACCCTAGCATATTCCTCCGGGTCGCCATCACCCCTAATGATCAGGTACGATACAAGACAACGCTTCAGGTCCCATCTGACATGTACCTCGCCGATGTTCTCGAGACCATCTGTCGCAAGAGACATCTCGCGAGTCCCGATGAGTGGGCGCTTGTGGTCCCAGATAAGGACATCGTCGTGCCTCTGGACCGCACAGTGGAGAGTTTGCAAGGAAATCATGACCTTGCCTTGGTTCGACGCTCCACTCTTGGAGCTCAGGGTGGCTTTGGCGCGCTAACAGGATCCAGCACCAATCCGAATGGTAAGCGATGAGACGGTCATTCTGGACGGAATGCGCGAGCTCATCCTCTGGCTTGCTCAATGCGCAGCTTCTATCTTTAAACGACTCTCGGAGCCTGTGCAGCCACGCTACAACAAAGCTAAGGATTTGGCTGCCACTTACAAGGTGCGTTGTGACGCTCATAAGACTGCACATCGTTTTGCTGACTGCGCCATGCTGCGTTCGCCCTCTAAGACCTTCACCGTCAACCGCAAGATGCCTATGTTTGTGGGTCGCCACGAGAGGACGCTCACCTTGGATGGAGACTGGGTCCATATCATGTGCGTTGCACTTGACAAATTATCAGCGTGCAGCGAATTCTGAACACCCGCTCGCTTCTTGCACCAGTCCGACGGATTCTCGGGCATTTCATGCTCATGCTGCCAGGTGAGTCGTTGGACCAATTCTGAGGGCGTACGTTCGGCAGCTGAACTCGAAATTTCTTTTAACACACGCTCAAAGCTTCCCCATTACATCGGTCGTCAGCTGTGCCCAATCGACCAAGCTCCCTTCGGGTTTCAAACTTGTTGTCGCCCGCGAGACGTTGCGGGACACCAAGCGCTACGACTTTGAATGCGCGAGCGCACGCGAAGCCGGTCAGTGTCTTGGTTGCTGGGCTGGTCGATACATCTCCTAAAGCTGACTTGCCTCTCGCTCGTTCCAATCCAGCCGAAATTGTCGGAGAGGTCAATTTGCGCATACGTCGTTGAGCGGGTACTCAGATCGACTTTACAAGCGCACCCTTTGTGTTCATGTGTATTTGTAAGACTTGCTCAAGTTCTCCTCGAATCTACTCGGTACACCGCTGATGCGAGAAAAGGGTGATGGAGCGAGTCGTGCTGCCTGAAGCGTGCTGATCCCTTGACGGCGCGAGGCGTAAGGGCGAGCAGGGTCGTCTACGGATCGATCCACGAGCGCTGCACGACTCGCAGCCCTACCTGACTTGAAGATGTGAAGCGTACGGCTGCATGCCATGCAGCCGTACGGTACCGCCACGGTTATCACCGGCGCGGCAGCGTTGTGGATGTGATGCAGGGTGCATGCAACCAGAGCTATAGGCTGCCCACGATGCCAATTTTGAATGCTCTGCTGTGTACAGTAGCTGCTGATACGGGTGGGCTGTGTTGTGGGGATCGACCAGTGAGCCTGCTGCTCATGTGCCGCTACACTCGCCAA